ATTCAGGAGGGATTGCATCACATTATGGCACCTCAGTGTTTCACAAAAATTCATTCACTCACTGCAAAGGAGGATGACGAACTCTGTGAAAGGAGTTTTTGTGAACTTCTGTTGTTATGCTGGTCTGAAATCAGGCTCTTCTAAACAGCTTTAACCTGTAATTTGGTGTGTTTTGTTGTTTTTGTCCCACCTCAGGCGGACTTTCCCACAGTAATAGGTGTGACTCTTGACCGAGAGGATGGCAGCACACCCATGGAGACTGATGGTGACAAGGGCAAGCAGAGCGGCACCACCTACTATATTGATACCAATCAGCTGAGGGTACCCAGAGAGAACATGGAGGTCATGTCTCCGCTCAAGAATGGCATGAGTAAGCGTTTAGTCCAAGTGATTGGAGCATATGACTTTTTTCACCCGTACATAAAAGACTGGCCTCGATCTTTTCATATGTATGTTGTAAAAAAGGATTTAAATAAATGGGAAGAAGAGCTGTTGGAAAACACGGAGCAGGTTTTCATCTCTGATGCAAATGTGAATAATCTGGCCTGCTTGATCCAAATCCATAATTAGTCTGTTTTGGTCTGACAACGACTTCATTGGCGAGCTCGTCAAACCCTGGCTGACGTGTATATATATGACTGGAGCGCATCATGAATATTAATGAGATTATTTGAAGCTCGAGGCAGCTCGTCAGCTGTGGTGTGCAGTGTTCTCCTGATGGGAGCCCTCTGCATCTGTGGTTTACTGCAGTGTCATAACGGGGCATATGCTGAATAACACAAACTGTGTTTGGGCTTATTTTGAAAAACGTTTCAGTTTAACGGTCACCAACCAGGGCTGTTCCTGCTGCTGCTGGTCTGGTTCCCCAGTGAGCAGCAGGGCCATAAATGAACTGAACTGGTTTAAAAAAGACTAAATTGGTGATTTGGCTCTTCTGCGATGGTGTTTGTATGCTGGAGTGGACTAAGCTTTAGAGGTTTGTTTTTATGTTCTGGTCAACAGTTTTCTTTCCTTTTTTAGAAATTTCAGATATTTGCAGTTTATGGTTCACGTCATCGACTGATCTTTTGATTGTTCTTTGGGTGAAACAATTATTCATTTGCCCTAAATGCCCTTTACTTAGTTTTCAGATTTACTTACTTGAACATTTATTAGTATCAGAAGTGACATAAAGTTACTGTTTTTTTCATATTATTCATTTAACGAAGCCATTTCAGGCTCTAACGTCGCAGCAGTTTGCTTCTGTATTTGGGTTTTGGACTGTTGGCCATTACAATTTTTAGTTATCCATGTTTGTTTGTAGTGGCTTGATTCACAGACAATAAATGGCTTTTGCCAGTTAAAGTATTAAGTGATTGCAGTCCACTGATGGTGTCGACACTTTTTAAAGCATTTACCCAAAGTATTAGTGATGGCAAGTGCCCCGGTGCACTGACCTAGCCGCTGATGCTCATCAGAATCTGGTCCACTGGAGTTTCTCAGGCTATTTAGAGATGAGTGTGACACAAATCTTAATTGCAGCAGAAGAGCACAGTGGGACCAGCGTCTCCCTTAGAGGGCTAACCTGGAAAAATGGTGCCTGGTGCTCAAATTATTATCTAAAAAAAATTATAATTGCTCCAATTTCTCCACCATCTGACCCAACACACATGATAGTGTTGATGAAGGGGCTTTTTGAGGTCTGTATCCACAGAGACCGCAAAGCCTTACCATGACAACGTTGCTGTTATTTGCTTATGGTAGATGGTAAATGGCCTGTATTTGTATAGCGCTTTACTCAGTCCCTAAGGACCCCAAAGCGCTTCACACTACATCCAGTCATCCACACATTCACACACTGGTGATGAAGCTACGTTGTAGCCACAGCCACCCTGGGGCGCACTGACAGAGGCGAGG